GGTAGCACCCCGAATCAGTTTTCGCAAAGTAAAAGGTTTTATTTTTTTTAAAGACTATGCGAATTTTAGCGCACTCTGATTTAACGATAAGGAGGGGTGTTACAATTGGTATCAGAGCTCGTTTCTGCGTCTCTGACAAGTTTTTCAGTCAGTAATTTTTCAGAAAAACCTGAACCGTCATGCTCACGCCCCGCCGACGACAGGTAAGTGCTGATTCAGTTTTCAGTTATAAACATATTACTTTGTCTATGCTCATAATTGAAGATCAGGACTTTAGTTAAGATGCTCGAATAAGGTTCAGACTGTAGAGTTCGGACATGACTCTAGAATTCAGGCATTCAGATATGACTCTAGACATTAGGATTTTCCTATATGACTCTAGAGTTCTTCAGGTTTCACGTCAGTATTTATCAGCCATTTTTGGCAACTCGTCAAGAGATCTGTGTGCCTTAGAAATCAGTCAGAATGTTATCACGTATTCAGTAATGTTAAATTGTCTCAATGTTCAGATGCCGCTACGTAGGGAACCCGATCATCAGGCTTCTACTCAGGCTACGGTAGTCGCTCAGTTCCGCGACTATCACGCCGAAAAGTTCTCAGGGCAGGGAGACCCCCGCATCGTTGATGAATGGATTCAGGGGTTGGAATTTATCTTTGAGGTTATGGAATGCCCCGATAGGTATCGCGTAGTTTGCGCTCAGCTTCAGCTCACTGGTGATGCAAGGCTCTGGTGGAATGCCTACTGGAGCATGCGTCCTGGTGAAAAAGCGGGTTGTACATGGGACATGTTCAAGGAGCTAGTCCGCGACAAGTACTACCCTTCCTACTATCGGGCAGAGATGGAGCGCCAGTTCTTAGCGCTTCAACAGGGCACTCGTACTGTAGATGAGTACGAGCGAGAGTTCACTAGACTTGCAGGTTTCGCACCGGATCTTGTTCGCACGGAGGCTCAGAGAGCGCAGCGGTTCATTGACGGACTTTACCCAGCAGTCCGTCACAACATCGTGGGACACGGGACTCAGACCTACGCTCGTGCAGTTTCTATTGCCCAGGAGGTGGACGCTAGCATCAGGAGGGAGGCAGTTCGTGATCGTGCCCAGCCATCTACCCCAGCTCAGCCATTTGCAGCTCCACCAGCTCTACCAGCCCCTCAGCCGGCAAAAGAGAAGAAGAGGAAGGGAAAGGGTGCACAGACTGACCGGAGGACCCGACAGAGACAGCAGCCGATTCCACCGTGCCCGACTTGTGGTCGACTTCACAGGGGAGAGTGCCGTATGGGACAGGACATCTGCTACTATTGCCATGAGCCGGGACATTTTGCGAGTCGCTGTCCGAAGAGACTCCAGCAGCAGCCTCAGCAGCCTCAGCAGCCACCACAGCAGCAACAGCCACGTCAGCAGGCACAGAGGCCGCCTCAGCAGCAGCAGCAGAGGGGCAGACAGCAGGCCCGGGTTTACGCAGTTGATCAGGCCGAGGCAGCACAGCAGCCAGGTACTATGTCAGGGATGGTTGTTCTCAATGATGTTCCTGTGTTTGCTTTATTCGATACTGGAGCGACACATACTTTCATTTCACGACGATGTCGCGATGCCATCGGAGTTCACGCTGTTACCGCTGTCGATCCTCTCGAGGTGAGTTTAGCCTCGGGACGAAAGATAGTGACCTCAGCTAAAGCCTCAGATCTTAGCCTTTCCATCGGTGGCCGAGTATTGACTGCCGACACATTTGTTCTCGAGATGAGGGACTTCGACCTTATTCTCGGGATGGATTGGCTATCCTTCTATCATGCAGATATCAGGTGTCATGACCGGGAGATCACTCTTTATCTTCCAGGAGACGAGTCGATTACTTTCTTCGGCTCCAGGAATCGTTCACTGCCTCATGTTATTTCGATGGCGAAAGCCACTAAGTTATTGCGACGAGGCAACTGCCAGGGTTATCTGGTGAGCCTTGTCGATGATTCTCAGAAAGCGCGAACACCTCATGATGTTCCAATCGTTCGCGAGTTTGTGGACGTATTCCCAGACGAGCTTCCAGGAGGACCGCCCAACCGTCAGGTGGATTTTTCTATCGATCTTTTCCCAGGGGCCGGTCCAGTATCTAAAGCCCCATATCGCATGGCGCCTAAGGAGTTGCAGGAGCTTAAGACCCAGATTCAGGATCTGTTACGACTCGGTTTCATCCGACCGAGCATGTCACCGTGGGGAGCACCCGTCCTCTTTGTTAAGAAGAAGGACGGATCCATGCGCATGTGTATCGACTACCGGGATCTTAACCGGTTGACGATTAGGAACAAGTACCCGCTTCCCAGGATCGACGACTTATTTGATTAGCTGAGGGGAGCGTGTGTATTCTCGAAGATTGATTTACGATCAGGCTACCACCAGCTGAAGATTAAGGAGTCAGATATCGCTAAGACCGCTTTCAGGACTCGTTACGGCCATTACGAGTTCGTCGTCATGCCTTTCGGTCTCAGCAATGCGCCAGCTGTTTTCATGGACCTCATGAACCGTATTTTTCATCCCTACCTCGATCAGTTCGTTATTGTCTTTATTGACGATATTCTTATCTACTCGAAGAGCCAGAAGGAGCACGAGGAGCATCTTAGGGTGGTTCTCGAAACCCTCAGACGAGAAAAGTTATACGCCAAATTCTCCAAATGCGAGTTCTGGCTCCAGCGAGTATCCTTTCTGGGTCATGTGATTACTCAGGCAGGTATCGAGGTGGATCCTTCTAAGGTTTCAGCCGTTCAGAACTGGTCGACAGCGAGGAGTCCGTCCGAGGTTCGCAGTTTTCTCGATTTAGCTGGTTACTATCGCAGGTTTATCGAGGGCTTCTCCAAGATCGCCCTCCCTTTATCTCAGCTGACGAGGAAGTCTGTGAAGTTCGAGTGGACTGATCGTTGTGAGGCGAGCTTTCAGGAGCTCAAGAGGAGATTGACTTCAGCACCGGTGTTGACTATTCCCGATCCTTCTCGGAGTTTCACTATCTTCAGCGATGCTTCGAGACAGGGCTTGGGATGTGTCCTTATGCAGGACGGCCAGGTCGTCGCGTATGCTTCACGTCAGCTTAAGCCTCATGAGCATAACTATCCTACGCACGACTTGGAATTAGCAGCAGTCGTTCATGCCCTGAAGATCTGGCGACACTATCTTTACGGCGGACGCTGCGAGATTTTCACAGATCATAAGAGCCTGTAGTATATTTTTACGCAGAAGGAGCTTAATATGAGGCAGCGCCGTTGGCTTGAGCTGGTCAAGGATTATGATTGTTCTATCCAGTACCATCCGAGAAAGGCGAACGTCGTCGTGGATGCCCTAAGACGAAAGGTGAAGGGTGACTTGACGTACGTCATTACGCAGCAGAGTCCACTGATTCATGAGTTTGCCCGGATGCAGCTTCAGGCGATCGATGCACTTCCCATAGCCGTTTCGGGGAGTACCAGTACCAGTGTCAGTGCTATGCAGCTTCAACCGACGCTGAGAGAGAGAATCCGGCGAGAGAAGGCTTCTGACGAGTTCATTCGCGTCATGGAGGCCAAGGTTCGTGCTGGAGGCGTCGAGGATTTTCAGCTAGGTGCCGATGGTGCCTTAGAGTTCAGAGGCAGGATCGTGGTCC